AGGTCCAAGATTTTTCTTGAAAAGATGGACTGGAATCGTAGAAAAACTGCTCCCTTTCTTATTGTATAAAAATTTATCTCGCTAAAATTTAAAAACGCACGAAATGCCATTTTAGAAGGTTCATTTTTCAAAATTTCCCGGGGGAGTATGCCCCCGGACTCCCCTAGGAACCTCGCGCCTTTGGCGCTCGAGGTCCCCTCAAACAGTGGAAAGAACTCCCCCATTCAAAATCCTGGCTACAGGCATGATACGTCTCCAGTCCCTTTTTCATATTCCAATATTAAATACAGGTCAAACTGTACACCATTATCTCGCAGTTCCTGTTCATGTTTAGCCACCCTCTCTCCACCTGCCGTCCTGTATCTTCGCTACAACAAGTTAATCTAATTACAGATATGTTACCACACCAAAAAAAAACAAAAAACGTTTTCCTTACCAGCTATCAGAATAGTAACGAACACCATCTGCATGATAGCCATGATGTCCCTTGCTGTTGTCTGGATTGACTTCGATAATAACACAGTAGCCGTACGCGTAAGTCTTCACAACAAATTAGCTACTAGTATTTTTGCTTGAAGAGCTTAACTTATATCAGTGAGCTTTTTTTTGGCACTGGAAGCAGGATGTGACCTCGTACTTTACACTAGGATCGGTGACATCCGTTTTTGGCTGCGCCCGTTTACACACATCAATAAAAGGTGTCAGTATGGCCTTAGCTCAATATATTTGTTCCGTAAGTATTAGTAAGTAACTTTGTTCCCCATGTAACTTTATATTTAGTAAAAGCTATAAGGCCTAGGACCCTAAATCTATGCTGATCAGACGTGGTAACACTCATTGTACGGTCGTCATACATTCGCGTCTGTTTTTTCATAGTCGTTCACAGATAAAATTCAGCTATCATGTAATGCCGAAACAATAGCGGTAGATTCTTTCGGCTGTGGGTTCTGTCACGATTTGCCTGAAAATGCCAGGACTTACTAATCTCCAAGCAGATCCCTATCGGTGGCAAAAAGACAGTATCAAATTGGCCATAGTATCCATTAACCAAAGAAGGTCCGCGGCTACCGACGTTGGTGGGGATAGCGAAATAAAAGGTAAAAATATAAAAAGGTAACGATCATTCCCCCACAACCTCTGCTTGGAGAGTAAGGACTTACGACCTTCGACGAATGTCACCACAGCCTAGCTCAACTTTTATGGCTACCTTTTTTATCTTTCATACTATATCATTATAATAATGATAATGTCTGCTTAAGCTTGTTCATAATTGTCTTCAGTCAGTCTACGTACCGGCCTAGTTTTTTTATTGGCCAAAGGAAAACAACACAAATTCTGCAGTTTGATCTTAGTGTCATTTATTGAACGGAATATGTTCGTTTGTTTATACGTCAACGTTTAGTCATATCCGTCGTACGGCTTAAATCGGCAGACATTCTTAGAATAGTCGGGAATGTGTCGCCTAACATTTTGCCATCTTGTCACGACAAATATTGCCGTACATAAATCATTGTTAACGGTCAAATCTGTCACATTTGACAAATCTGTAGCCTCGCTAGGAATCGCTATTTTTTTTTTCAAATAAATCGTACGACGTATGTGACGGCACCTCAAAAGTATCCCGACAAGTACAACTCCCTGCCAATGATGATCTCACAGCAGATGTGTCAGTCGGGCTTGCTCTGTGGGTATCTTAGATTGCACGATCATGCACGATGCCATCATGGATGACGCCATCTTGGATGGCGGCGCTATCGTGGATGAGGGCGCCATGTTGGCAGAAGCCATCGTCAGCCACAGTGATGGTATGGTGAGAATTGGGATGTTGAGTGCTGAAAATAATAAAAGAAGTAAAACACTTAATTACACCCATTAATAATCTTTAACCTTAATATGCATATGCATACTCTGTCAGTAAGGCACTAGGAATGTGAGATCGTGTGTCCTAACGGCAGAGTGTCACCGACCTTGTGCCCTTGAGAAAGGTATTTTACACGACATTCCTCGTGAGCATTGTCCTCTGCGTCGGTTGTGGCATAAAAATAAGTTGAAAAACTTAAGTGTGTTGATATTATATTGACTCTCATGGAACAAAAATTGCCAAAATTCTGACAGAAAATGGTTACTTAAAGGAGCCAGGGCTGATTTCTAGGTACCATCTAAAAATGCAGGACTCATCTTGGTGCTTGTTTATGCAGTTTTCAATGCCCAAAGTATGAAATGCTGCTTCAAAATGTGCTAACGTGAAGCAGTATGTGTCAATATCACAAAGCTGGCCTAATTCAGCATATTTCCAGTTTGGGCGCCCAAAAATCGCATTGGGTGCCTTTACCTAAAATGTTGGAAGACTGGAACCTACCTATATATGCAGGCAGCGCTCTCCAGGAAGCAGATGTTGTCATAGATTTGCCCGTTACTGCCGCAGACTGGAGAGTAGTACTCGGGACAGAACATCGGGCAGTCGTTATCGAACTGCCGCTTGCGGCCACCTGGTGCACCGTTACAGGGGCCATTGTATGCCACTGTGATGGTATGATGGGCGTCGGGATGTTGAGCGCTGAAAGAAACAAAAGGATGAATGAAGACTTCTTTAATGACTTCAATAATAATAAAAACAATTTAAGGATTCAATTGTAAACAAGAAAAACTAACTAAAATGTTTAAAACTCTAATTGCAATGTTGGAACGTACCTGAAAATGCAGGCGTCAATCTCCAGGTAGCAGCGGTTGTTGTAGGTCTGATGGTTACTGCCGCAAACGGGATCGTAGTCATTGGGACAGTGAGCATTGCAGTCATCGGTACCAGGGTTGAACTGACGCTTACGGTTACAGGGTCCAGTGTGTGCCACGGTGATGGTATGATGGGAGTCGGGATTTTGAGCGCTGAAAGAAACAAAAGGATAAACAAATATTTTATATCAGACTTCGATAATGATTAAGTAAAAGAAGACATTCGCAACCCCATAAAGAATAAGAAAGCAAAAGAAAAATCTTTGAAAAAGACATTAATATAGGATAGATGTAAATGAACATAATATAGTAAATAAAAATTGTATCACTGTTCCCAGCTAATGGCAATGTTATGTATCCATTCGTAATGAAGAAACGATTAATAATTCAATAGCTATAAGACCGCCATACACTGGTGTCAAGGTTGAGTTGATTGTTAATCTGAACTGTCCCTAGCCTGCTTGGAGGAGTTTTCCAACACAGTTAAGGGGCTAAAAAAACACTTAGGGATTGGCACCACAAATTTAATTACCGATTGCAAAGTTCCTGTGAATCTTGTTTGTTGAATTTCAAATTAAGGCAGTCTCTTTTTTTGTGCGAATAAATTTACAAAAACTTCAATTTCCAACAAGAAAACTCCAGCTCCAAACTCAGAGGTTTTAAAATATGTTTGCAATGCTTCATCGTACGTGTAGAGGCAGTTGTCCAACTCCATGAGGCAGCGGTTGTCGTAGGTCTGCCCGTTACTGCCGCACAGCGGATCGTAGTTGTGCTCGTTACAGTGCGCATTGCAGTGATCGGTGCCGGGGTTGAACTGACGCTTACGGTTGTCGGCTCCACTGTTGCAGGGGCCAGTGTATGCCACAGTGATGGTATGATGGGAGTCGGGATTTTGAGCGCTGAAAGAAACAAAAGGATAAACAGAGTTTATTGCAGATGATTTAACAAAACATAAAGAAGACATTCACAACCCCCATAAGGTGAGGACCATAAATAGAAATGCAAAAGAAAAATATTTAAAAAAATAAATCAACATAGGGTAGATGTAAATGAACACAATATAGTGAATAGAAAATGTTTTTATCACTATTCCTTTACTTTAATGCTATGTATCCATTCGTAATTAAGAAAACACTTATCACCTATACGACTGCCATAGGTTAGTGTCAAGGTTGAGTTGATTGTCAATCTAAACAGTCCCTAGCCTGCTTGGAGGAGGTTTCCCACACAGTTAAGAGGCTAAAATACCACTTAAGGATAGTCGTTACAAATTTACAGATTGCAAAATTCCTGTGAATCTTGTTTGTTGAATTTCAATTCAGGCAGTCTAATTATTTTGTGCGAATAAATTTACAAAAACTTCAATTTCGAACAATAAAACTCCCGCTCCAATGCAAATTCAGAAGTTTTAAAATATGTTTGCAAAATTTCAGCGTACGTGTAGAGGCAGTTGTCCAACTCCATGAGGCAGCGGTTGTCGTAGGTCTGCCCGTTACTGCCGCACAGCGGATCGTAGTTGTGCTCGTTACAGTGCGCATTGCAGTGATCGGTTCCAGGGTTGAACTGACGCTTACGGTTGTCGGCTGCACTGTTGCAGGGGCCATTGTATGCCACGGTGATGGTATGATGGGAGTCGGGATTTTGAGCCCTGAAAGAAACAAAAGGATAAACAGAGTTTGATGATTTAACAAAACAAGAAGAAGGAATTCACAACCCCTGTAAGGTGAGGACCATAAATAGAAATGCAAAAGAAAAATCTTTTAAAAAAGAAATCAATATAGGGTAGATGTAAATAAACACAATATAGTGAATAGAAAATGTTTTATCACTATTCCTTTACTTTCATGCTATGTATCCATTCGTAATTAAGAAAACACTTGTTATCTATACGACTGCCATAGGTTAGTGTCAGGGTTGAGTTGATTGTCAATCTAAACAGTCCCTAGCCTGCTTGGAGGAGTTTTCCCACACAGTTAAGAGGCTAAAATACCACTTAGGGATAGTCGTCACAAATTTACAGATTGCAAAATTCCTGTGAATCCTGTCTGTTGAATTTCAAATTAAGGCAGTCTCATTATTTTGTGCGATTAAAAACTTCAATTTCCAACAAGAAAACCCAAGCTCCAAACTCAGAAGTTTTAAAATATGTTTGCAATGCTTCAGCGTACGTGTAGAGGCAGTTGTCCAACTCCATGAGGCAGCGGTTGTCGTAGGTCTGCCCGTTACTGCCGCACAGCGGATCGTAGTTGTGCTCGTTACAGTGCGCATTGCAGTGATCGGTGCCAGGGTTGAACTGACGCTTACGGTTGTCGGCTCCACTGTTACAGGCGCCATGGTACGCCAAGGTGATGGTATGGGGGGAGTCGGGATGTTGAGCGCTGAGAAGAAAAAAAAAAAAAACAACTAAGACTTTATCATATACTTCAATGATGATTGACAAAGAAATTCACAGACCATGTTAGGGAATGACCGGGAAATAGAAGTGCAAAAGGACAATATAAGAAAGGCAAAAGGCACATTGTAAATAGACGTAAAATAGTAAATAGAAAATTATCTTTATCACTATTCCTTCGTGGCAATTCTATGCATCCATTAATGATTAGGTTAAAGAAACTTGAAGAAACAATTTAATTGATATAAGACTACCTCAGCTTGCAAGGTTCCTGCAGTTCCTGTCTGTGAAGTTTTTATTCAGACTAACTCTTATAGGTTGTGGCAATAAATTTGCAAAAACTTCAATTTCGAACAAAAAACTCTAGTCCCGAACTCAGAGGTATGACATCCCCGTTTGCAACAGTAGAACGTACCTGAACTGGCAGGCGTCCAACTCCAAGAAGCAGCGGTTGGTGTAGGTCTGGTCGTTACTGCCGCACACTGGATCGTAGTGGTCGGAACAGTGCGTATTGCAGTGCTCGTGGCCGGGGTTGAACTGACGCTTACTGTTCTTGGCTCCACTGTTACAGACACCATTGTATGCCACGGTGATGGTATGATGGGACTCGGGGTGTTGAGCGCTGAAAGAAACAAACGGATAAATCTTAAAATGATAAAACAAGGAAACCCATTCTCTCACTTCAGAGTCTGAACTCTCCGATTACAATATAATCATCTGTATTTATATCTCCATAGCCGGAACCAGGTTTCAGGGACCTAGACGGCCAAGCTCAGCCAGTTCAGAAGTGTCACAAACACGGCAACATAGAGTCACCCGGACACTTTGTTTTACTTTTGCACTGTAAGGATTTTGGACACTGAATAAGACTATTTCCTGAGAGTGGTGAAGGAGGCTACTTACATCAGGGCCCATCATCCTTCACTTAACCGCGACGGGGGCCGACATCGTCTACCAGATATCTTTGACCCAGTGTTAACGTCACATGTCAAAGAAGCCACGTGACAAGCCTCACTGGGTCAGTCTACTGAGGAAGATCAGAGTGACTGGTCGAAAGCTCTAGTCTAGATGAGAAAACTTTTTGTGTTGGATCTAAAGTTTTAACTCTAAACATGTAAATACCAACACAGATGAACTTCTATGATTAAAGCTATCCAATGATGATGTTCCTACTGTACTTTAGAGACAGCGAGTTCCAGAACATATTAGTTGAACGAACCTAAACATGCAGTCGTCCAACTCTAGGAGGCAGCGGTTGTCGTAGGTCTGCCCGTTACTGCCGCACACTGGATCGTAGTGGTCATTACAGTGCGTATTGCAGTGCTCGTTGCCGGGGTTGAACTGACGCTTACGGTTACAGGGTCCAGTGTGTGCCACGGTGATGGTATGATGGGAGTCGGGATTTTGAGCGCTGAAAGAAACAAAAGGATAAACAAAGAGTTTATTACAGACTGCAATGATGATTAACAAAACAAAAATAAGACATTCACAACCCCATAAGGTGAGGACCATGAATAGAAATGCAAAAGAAAAATCTTTAAAAAAAGAAATCAATATAGGGTAGATTTAAATGAACACAATATAATGAATAGAAAATGTTTTTATCACTATTCCTTTACTTTAATGCTATGTATCCATTCGTAATTAAGAAAACACTTATTAGCTATACGACTGCCATAGGTTAGTGTCAAGGTTGAGTTGATTGTCAATCTAAACAGTCCCTAGCCTGCTTGGAGGAGTTTTCCAACACAGTTAAGGGGATAAAATAACACTTAGGGATAGTCGTCACAAATTTACAGATTGCAAAATTCCTGTGAATCTTGTTTGTTGAATTTTAATTCAGGCAGTCTCATTATTTTGTGCGATAAAATTTTCAAAAACTTCAATTCCCAACAAGAAAACACCAGCTCCAAACTCAGAGGTTTTAAAATATGTTTGCAATGCTTCAGCGTACGTGTAGAGGCAGTTGTCCAACTCCATGAGGCAGCGGTTGTCGTAGGTCTGCCCGTTACTGCCGCACAGCGGATCGTAGTTGTGCTCGTTACAGTGCGCATTGCAGTGATCGGTGCCGGGGTTGAACTGACGCTTACGGTTGTCGGCTGCACTGTTACAGGGGCCATTGTATGCCACAGTGATGGTATGATGGGAGTCGGGATTTTGAGCGCTAAAAGAAACAAAATGATAAACAAATATTTTATAACAGACTTCGATAATGATTAAGTAAAAGAAGACATTCGCCGCAAAGTGAGGACCATAAATAGAAATGCAAAAGAAAAATCTTTAAAAAAAGAAATCAATATAGGGTACATGTAAATGAACACAATATAGTGAATAGAAAATGTTTTTATCACTATTCCTTTACCTTAATGCTATGTATCCATTTGTAATTAAGAAAACACTTATTACCTATACGACTGCCATAGGTTGGTGTCAAAGTTGAGTTGATTGTCAATCTAAACAGTCCCTAGCCTGCTTGGAGGAGTTTTCCAACACAGTTAACAGGCTAAAATACCACTTAGGGATAGTCGTCACAAATTTACAGATTGCAAAATTCCTGTGAATCTTGTTTGTTAAATTTTAATTCAGACAGTCTAATTATTTTGTGCGAAAAAAATTTACAATAACTTCAATTTCCAACAAGAAAACTCCATCTCCAAAGTCAGAGGTTTTAAAATATGTTTGCAATGCTTCAGCGTACGTGTAGAGGCAGTTGTCCAACTCCATGAGGCAGCGGTTGTCGTAGGTCTGCCCGTTACTGCCGCACAGCGGATCGTAGTTGTGCTCGTTACAGTGCGCATTGCAGTGATCGGTGCCGGGGTTGAACTGACGCTTACGGTTGTCGGCTCCACTGTTGCAGGGGCCAGTGTATGCCACAGTGATGGTATGATGAGAGTCGGGATTTTGAGCGCTGAAAGAAACAAAAGGATAAACAGAGTTTATTGCAGATGATTTAACAAAACAAAAAGAAGACATGCACAACCCCGTAAGGTGAGGACCATGAATAGAAATGCAAAAGAAAAATCTTTAAAAAAAGAAATCAATATAGGGTAGATTTAAATGAACACAATATAGTGAATAGAAAATGTTTTTATCACTGTTCCTTTACTTTAATGCTATTTATCCATTCGTAATTAAGAAAACACTTATTACCTATACGACTGCCATAGGTTAGTGTCAAGGTTGAGTTGATTGTCAATCTAAACAGTCCCTAGCCTGCTTGGAGGAGTTTTCCAACAGAGTTAAGGGGATAAAGTACCACTAAGGGATAGTCGTCACAAATTTACAGATTGCAAAAATCCTGTGAACTTGTTTGTTAAATTTCAAATTAAGGCAGTCTCATTATTTTGTGCGAATAAATTTACAAAAACTTCAATCTCGAACAAAAAAAACCCAGCTCCAAACTCAGAGGTTTTAAAATATGTTTGCAATATTTCAGCGTACGTGTAGAGGCAGTTGTCCAACTCCATGAGGCAGCGGTTGTCGTAGGTCTGCCCGTTACTGCCGCACAGCGGATCGTAGTTGTGCTCGTTACAGTGCGCATTGCAGTGATCGGTGCCAGGGTTGAACTGACGCTTACGGTTACAGGGTCCAGTGTATGCCACGGTGATGGTATGATGGGAGTCGGGATTTTGAGCGCTGAAAGAAACAAGAATTACAGCCTGCAATTATGATTTAACAAAACAAAAAGAAGACATTCACAACCCCTGTAATGTGAGGACCATAAATAGAAATGCAAAAGAAAAATCTTTAAAAAAAGAATTCAATATAGGGTAGATGTAAATGAACACAATATAGTGAATAGAAAATGTTTTTATCACTATTCCTTTATTAATGCTATGTATCCATTCGTTATTAAGAAACACTTAACGATTTGATAGCTATACGACTGCCATAGGTTTGTGTCAAGGTTGAGTTGATTGTCAATCTAAACAGTTCCTAGCCTGCTTGGAGGAGTTTTCCCACACAGTTAAGAGGCTAAAATACCACTTAAGGATAGTCGTCACAAATTTACAGATTGCAAAATTCCTATGAATCTTGTTTTTTTTTAATTTTAATTCAGGCAGTCTCATTATTTTGTGCGAATAAATTTACAAAAACTTCAATTTCGAACAAGAAAACCCCAGCTCCAAACTCAGAGGTTTTAAAATATGTTTGCAATGCTTCAGCGTACGTGTAGAGGCAGTTGTCCAACTCCATGAGGCAGCGGTTGTCGTAGGTCTGCCCGTTACTGCCGCACAGCGGATCGTAGTTGTGCTCGTTACAGTGCGCATTGCAGTGATCGGTGCCAGGGTTGAACTGACGCTTACGGTTGTCGGCTCCACTGTTGCAGGGGCCATGGTATGCCACGGTGATGGTATGATGGGAGTCGGGATTTTGAGCGCTGAAAGAAGCAAAAGGATAAACAAGGAGTTTATTACAGACTGCAATGATGATTAACAAAACAAAAAGAAGACATTCACAACCCCTGTAAGGTGAGGACCATAAATAGAAATGCAAAAGAAAAATCTTTTAAAAAAGAAATCAATATAGGGTAGATGTAAATAAACACAATATAGTGAATAGAAAATGTTTTATCACTATTCCTTTACTTTAATGCTATGTATCCATTCGTAATTAAGAAAACACTTGTTACCTATACGACTGCCATAGGTTAGTGTCAAGGTTGAGTTGATTGTCAATCTAAACAGTCCCTAGCCTGCTTGGAGGAGGTTTCCCACACAGTTAAGAGGCTAAAGTACCACTTAGGGATAGTCGTCACAAATTTACAGATTGCAAAATTCCTGTGAATCCTGTTTGTTGAATTTTAATTCAGGCAGTCTCATTATTTTGTACGAATAAATTTACAAAAACTTCAATTTCCAACAAGAAAACCCCAGCTCCAAACTCAGAGGTTTTAAAATATGTTTGCAATCCTTCAGCGTACGTGTAGAGGCAGTTGTCCAACTCCATGAGGCAGCGGTTGTCGTAGGTCTGCCCGTTACTGCCGCACAGCGGATCGTAGTTGTGCTCGTTACAGTGCGCATTGCAGTGATCGGTGCCAGGGTTGAACTGACGCTTACGGTTACAGGGGCCAGTGTATGCCACTGTGATGGTATGATGGGAGTCGGGATTTTGAGCGCTAAAAGAAACAGAAGGATAAACAAATATTTTATAACAGACTTCGATAATGATTAAGTAAAAAGAAGACATTCACAACCCCGTAAGGTGAGGACCGGGAATAAGAAAGCAAAAGAAAAATCTTTGAAAAAGACATCAATATAGGATAGATGTAAATGAACACAATAAAGTAAATAGACATTGTATCACTATTCCCAGCTAATAATATAATGGCAATGCTATGTATTTATAGGTAATAAAGAAACACTTGATAATTTAATAGCCATCAGACATAAGCCATATATTGGTGTCAAGGTTGAGTTAATTGGCAATCTGAACTGTCCCTAGCCTGCTTGGAGGAGTTTTTCAACACAGTTAAGAGGCTAAAATACCACTTAGGGATAGTCGTCACAAATTTACAGATTGCATAATTCCTGTGAATCTTGTTTGTTGAATTTCAAATTAAGGCAGTCTCATTTTTTTTGTGCGAATAAATTTACAAAAACTTCAATTTCCAACAAGAAAACCCCAGCTCCAAACTCAGAAGTTTTAGAATATGTTTGCAATGCTTCAGCGTACGTGTAGAGGCAGTTGTCCAACTCCATGAGGCAGCGGTTGTCGTAGGTCTGCCCGTTACTGCCGCACAGCGGATCGTAGTTGTGCTCGTTACAGTGCGCATTGCAGTTATCGGTGCCGGGGTTGAACTGACGCTTACGGTTGTCGGCTCCACTGTTGCAGGGGCCATTGTATGCCACGGTGATGGTATGATGGGAGTCGGGATTTTGAGCGCTAAAAGAAACAGAAGGATAAACAAATATTTTATAACAGACTTCGATAATAATTAAGTAAAAAGAAGACATTCACAGCCCCGTAAGGTGAGGACCAGGAATAAGAATGCAAAAGAAAAATCTTGGAAAAGAACATCAACATAGGACAGATGTAAATGAACACAATATTATAGTAAATAGACATTGTATTACTATTCCCAGCTAATGGCAATGTTATGCATCTATTCGTAATGAAGAAACGCTTAATAATTCAATAGCTCTATATATAAGACCGCCATATATAGGTGTCAAGGTTGAGTTGATTGTTAATCTGAACAGTCCCTAGCCTGCTTGGAGGAGTTTTTCCAACACAGTTAAGAGGCTAAAATACTACTTAGGGATAGTCGTCACAAATTTACAGATCGCAAAGTTCCTGTGAAACTTGTTTGTTGAATTTTAATTCAGGCAGTCTCATTATTTTGTGCGAATAAATTTACAAAAACTTCAATTTCCAACAAGAAAACTCCCGCTCCAAATTCAGAAGTTTTAAAATATGTTTGCAATGCTTCAGCGTACGTGTAGAGGCAGTTGTCCAGCTCCATGAGGCAGCGGTTGTCGTAGGTCTGCCCGTTACTGCCGCACAGCGGATCGTAGTTGTGCTCGTTACAGTGCGCATTGCAGTGATCGGTGCCAGGGTTGAACTGACGCTTACGGTTGTCGGCTGCACTGTTGCAGGGTCCAGTGTATGCCACGGTGATGGTATGATGGGAGTCGGGATTTTGAGCGCTGAAAGAAACAAAAGGATAAACAGAGTTTATTACAGACTGCAATGATGATTGACAAAACAAAAAGAAGACATTCACAACCCCATAAGGTGAGGACTATGAATAGAAATGCAAAAGAAAAATCTTTAAAAAAGACATCAATATAGGGTAGATGTAAATGAACACAATATAGTGAATAGAAAATGTTTTTATCACTATTCCTTTACTTTAATGCTATGTACCCATTCGTTATTAACAAACACTTAACGATTTAATAGCTATACGGTTGCCGTAGGTCGGTGTTAAGGTTGAGTTGATTGTCAATCTAAACAGTCCCTAGCCTGCTCGGAGGAGTTTTCCAACACAGGTAAGAGGCTAAAATACCACTTAGGGATAGTCGTCACAAATTTACAGATTGCAAAATTCCTGTGAATCTTGTTTGTTGAATTTCAAATTAAGGCAGTCTCATTATTTTGTGCGAATAAATTTTTAAAAAGTTCAATTTGCAACAAGAAAAAAACACCAGCTCCAAACTCAGAGGTTTGAAAATATGTTTGCAATGTTTCAGCGTACGTGTAGAGGCAGTTGTCCAACTCCATGAGGCAGCGGTTGTCGTAGGTCTGCCCGTTACTGCCGCACAGCGGATCGTAGTTGTGCTCGTTACAGTGCGCATTGCAGTGGTCGGTTCCAGGGTTGAACTGACGCTTACGGTTGTCGGCTCCACTGTTGCAGGGGCCAGTGTATGCCACGGTGATGGTATGATGGGAGTCGGGATTTTGAGCGCTAAAAGAAACAAAAGGATAAACAAATATTTCATAACAGACTTCGATAATAATTAAGTAAAAGAAGACATTCACAACCCCGTTAGGTGAGGACCAGGAATAAGAATGCAAAAGAAAAATCTTTAAGAAGAAAATCAAAATAGGATAGATGTAAATGAACATAATATAGTAAATAAAAATTGTATCACTCTTCCCAGCTAATGGCAATGTTATGTATCCATTCGTAATGAAGGAACACTTGATAATTTAATAGCCATCAGACATAAGCCATATATTGGTGTCAAGGTTGAGTTGATTGGCAATATGAATTGTCCCTAGCCTGCTTGGAGGAGGTTTCCCACACAGTTAAGAGGCTAAAATACCACTTAGGGATAGTCGTCACAAATTTACAGATTGCAAAATTCCTGTGAATCTTGTTTGTTGAATTCCAAATTAAGGCAGTCTCATTTTTTTTTGTGCGAATAAATTTACAAAAACTTCAATTTCCAACAAGAAAACCCGAGCTCCAAACTCAGAAGTTTTAAAATATGTTTGCAATATTAAA